CATCCATTGTAAAGAACTATGCCGATACGTTCTGATTACAGACTAACTGTAAGGTGGTTGCATCTTAAATAAGTTTTTCTATCGTGGTATTAACATCCTATTATACTTTGTCTATTGTAATACATGTACCCCCAACTGTTTAGATACATATAAACAGAAAGGTTGGTTTGAGACCGATAGTACGTATACGTTGTTACAACCGAGGGGTTGTTAACCATTGTGACAAGTGAAAATGGTGACAGATAAACAGGGGGAAAAAAATGACTTGTCTATGGTGACTGACACATTTAACGCGTGTATCCCAGGAACTGTCTATAAGCACGTGGTTTGTTGTAAAAAAAACTGACGCCATATCCCCAGTCTTCAAATGTTCGTATTTGCCTTGGTCGTATTTGTCTTGGTCGTATTTGCCTTGGTCGTATTTGTCGTATTTGCCTTGGTCGTATTTGCCTTGGTCGTATTTGTTTTGGTCGTATTTATCGTATTTGTCGTATTTGCCTTGGTCGTATTTGTCTTGGTCGTATTTGCCTTGCTCGTATTTGCCTTGGTCGTATTTGTCTTGGTCGTATTTGTCGTATTTGCCTTGGTCGTATTTGTCTTGGTCGTATTTGTTGTATCTGTCTTGGTCGTATTTGTCTTGGTCGTATTTGTCGTATTTGTCGTATTTTCCTTGGTCGTATTTGTCTTGGTCGTATTTGCCTTGTTCGTATTTGTCTTGGTCGTGTTTGCCTTGGTCGTATTTGTCTTGGACTTATTGGCCTTGGTCGTATTGCCTTGGTCGTATTTGTCTTGGACTTCTTGGCCTTGGTCGTATTGCCTTGGTCGTATTTGTCTTGGACTTATTGGCCTTGGTCGGATTGCCTTGGTCGTATTTGTCTTGGTCGTATTTGTCTTGATCGTATTTGTCTTGGTCGTATTTGCCTTGGTTGTATTTGTCTTGATCGTATTTGCCTAGGTCGTATTTGTCTTGGTCGTATTTGCCTTGGTCGTATTTGTCTTGGTCGTGTTTGCCTTGGTCGTATTTGTCTTGGACTTATTGGCCTTGGTCGTATTTGCCTTTGTCGTATTTGTCTTGGTCGTATTTGTCGTATTTGTCTTGGTCGTATTTGCTTTGGTCGTCATTGTCTTGGTCGTATTGTTTTGGTCGTATTTGTTTTGGTCGTATTTGCCTTTGTCGTATTTGCCTTAGTCGTATTTGTTTTGGTCGTATTTGCCTTTGTCGTATTTGTCTTGGTCGTGTGTGCTTTTGTCGTATTTGCCTTAGTCGTATTTTTTTGGTCGTATTTGCCTTGGTCGTATTTGCTTTGGTTGTATTTGCCTTTGTCGTATTTGCCTTAGTCGTATTTGTTTTGGTCGTATTTGCCTTTGTCGTATTTGCCTTAGTCGTATTTGTTTTGGTCGTATTTGCCTTTGTCGTATTTGTCTTGTTCGTATTTGCTTTGGTCGAAATTGTCTTGGTCGTATATTTTTGGTCGTATTTGCCTTGGTCGTATTTGTTTTGGTCGTATCTGCCTTTGTCGTATTTGCCTTAGTCATATTTGTTTTGGTCGTATTTGCCTTTGTCGTATTTGTCTTGGTCATATTTGTCTTGCTCGTATTTGTCTTGGTCGTATTTGCTTTGGTCGTATTTGCCTTGGTCGTATTTGCCTTGGTCATATTTGCTTTGGTCGTATTTGTCTTGGTCGTATTTGCTTTGGTCGTATTTGCTTTGGTCGTATTTGTCTTGGTCGTATTTGCTTTGGTCGTATTTACTTTGGTCGTATTTGTCTTGGTCGTATTTGTCTTGGTCGTATTTGCCTTGGTCGTATTTGCCTTTGTCGTATTTGCTTTGGTCGTATTATTCTTGGTCGTATTTGCTTTGGTCGTATTTGTCTTGGTCGTATTTGTCGTATCTGCCTTGGTCGTATTTGCTTTGGTCGAATTTGCCTTGGTCGTATTTGTCTTGTTCATATTTGCCTTGGTCGTATTTGTCATGGTCGTATTTGCCTTGGTCGTATTTGTCGTATTTGTCTTGGTCGTATTTGCCTTGGTAGTATTTGCTTTGGTTTTGTTTACACTTTCCGTATAGATGCTATATTTTTTATTTTAAACAACCTAATCCTGATACGAGTTTGAAAACAAAATAAAACAAAAGCAGACCACATTGGCTTGTCATACGCTATGAAATGTCATAATTATGTTGAATAAACTGTGTTTGTAGACCAACAAAAGACCATGTGAACTTTAAACGTGCAATTTTCTCATTAATTACTAAATGATGTAGCCAACAATTCGACTTACAGCGTGTGTATTTAAAATTGTGAATACTGGTCCATGGTAATGAATAGTGAAGCTCTGTTTATAATTCAAAACAGCATAAAGAGAAATAAGCACAAACCTTAGAATATTAGTGGGTGCAATATCATACATGATGTACCTTTAACGTTCAAGGCCATTGTCCAAAATGTGTGTTCAAATAATATGGACCTATTTCTTTACTTTTTATAATATATAATTTACACTCAAATTAAATGAAAACTCTCCACTTAGTACACAACTTCAAAAGAACTGTATAAATCGTAAATCAGCGCCCGTGTAAAGTGACGTACATTATCGTTTACACTTCGTGCGGGGCATGCTTTCCTTTGCGCAATTGTAACACAGTCTTGTCGATTATCGTACCCGTGCAGTTGATTGATGCTGTCAAACATCTTCACTGCCACACATACCAATTACCAATTAATCAAACAGGTGTTTACACCTAAAAGGACTGTCATCCATAAGTGTAAACAATCAAAAGTACTGGTACACCAAATGCTATCGTTTACCCGGGGGGTCTAGGTAAAGTGTTTGCACACTATTTAAACAATGCAGACATGACAAAATGTGCAATGTTTACGTTTGTGCCATGTAAACTGGAATTAATTAATTGGAAAGATACGAGAACGAACCTGCTTTGCCATGTAATTAAATGTCATCTTCGCTCCATCCTGACCCGACACACTTTACTTTTCAACACTGCAGTGGTGAACGGACATTTACGAGAGTTCTATGACTCATATGTTGGTCAAATTCTTGGTCAAATTTATTTGTACATCTGAACGCTTGAATACCTTAATATTAAGGATGTACTCTTCTGAGGTTTCAATCACGTTCAAATCTCGTTTTGATCTGGTGTAATGGGTTTTTGTATAAGCAAACACGCATCTGAAAAATATTCCAAAAAACTAGATGCCTGTTGTTTCTAGAACTTTTTTTACAAGAATTTAAAAAAAATTGCCAATTCGGCGGCCATTTTGAAAATGTGTATTAATGTGTATTTCTTGCGCTTCAAAAAAGGCCAAAATTTCACTCTTTTTGACACTAGATTAATCACTTAACTTGTCATTGTGTCGCCATTTTTAATTGTAGCAGGTTCAATTTTGCTGTACGACTTTATAATGTTCAATATGATAAAAATAATATGCAACAAACTGAAAATTATACATTATTGTGGGTTTTTTTTCAAGTATTTAGTGTAAATGAAGCACTTTTGAAATTTGACCCGGAAAAAAGTAAAACATAACACAAATGATAACGGGACAAAAAAAGAAGCACACTGACCCCCCATTTTTGTAGATGTTTTAGAAAGAGAAACACATTTTCACTTAATTCATTAAATATCAAAAAAAGTTAAATTCCAGAACTTTTATAAAAAAAAATAGGGGGTAGGGGTAACTAAAATCGTCTTTCTGAGTTAAAAGAATAAGATTAAGAAATTTTACTTCCATAATTTAAAAGAAAATAATATTTTTATCAATTCTACAAACATTCATACATATCTGATAACACACTTGGAAAAAATTGTATGAATTTGTTCTGCAAATGGTCAAAACCCAAAAAATCACCTAAAATCACATGTTGTGTTAAATTGGTATCTTTGACCGATCATAGCACAAAAACGAACACACGGACATATGTTTTTTTTTTGCATTTTCTACTATGCCATTAATTCCTTTTTCCAAAAATCCATATAAGAAAAAAAGTTTAATACAGGAAATTTTTGACTTCTCAGAGGTGTACATCCTTAAGTAAACTGTGTATACAACGTAATGGCGTCATATTCTGATATGTTTAATTACCCTTTGATCTATCACGCATTTCGTGGAGACCTCTTCTGTAGGTTTAATACCGGAAGTTCATATATTTAGACATTATGAGCAGTGTGTTGTGTTACATACAATTCTTAGTATTGTCATACATCTGTATTGCCATTCAATGTAAACACTAATAACGTTTCTTGATCAGAAGGAACAGTTTTACACCAGAGACAAACTTTATAAAGGGGTACTATAATGCTACTAGTGATGGATTCTATCTTGTTACAACAAATAAATAAGCCTGATGGTTAGGAATGATGAAAACTAACGTGCATTTGCATTTGGGGATAGGCTTGTTCATGTAAAATAATCAAAAGTTTGAAATTTGGCGCCCACGCAATGGAATTTATTGGACAGGAATTGTAAATTGTTCCTCGAATTTTGCTAATACAGTACATTGTACAAAGCAAAGTCAGCTTAGAATCCATACTTTATTCAATAAGAATACAAATATGCATAGGCCATGCGGCCGTTAACGCTGGTTTATAAGGTATTTGTAAGCTGTAAGAAGCGTAATAACAACCTGTCGGAACTTCACATATGCTGTTGAATGAACATTGACATTTCATAAAGGTGGGACCAGATGTCTGTAGGCCGCATGGATCGTTATATAGAAGTTTAGCACAAGCGTACTAGCTGTCCACACTTCACTTGACAGTAGCCTCTGAAGTATGAGTTATTATGGAGAGTACATGTATAATCTATTGTAAAACAGACAAAAACAAGATATCAATTCCACACACACACAACATAACATTTAGCCCAGTCGTGGGTGTTTAAGGGGGTAAGTATATATGCTTATCACATTGTATTGTAGCTTAATCACCAGCTGTCAGGAAAGACATCATTTTTTTTCATTGAATTTTACAGAAAAAATCAAGAATGTTGTAGGCGTAAATTGTCAAAAATCCATACTCATCTTAAGGAAACTGAAAAAGCCAATATATTGTTCGAATATTGTCCTGAGGTAACTCAATATAAGACTATTGTTTTTTCGTAATCCCTTTAATTTTACTAGATGTTGAGTTATTTCTAGATTCGGGTTGTATTTTTTAAAATAATATATTTTGAAGTGTGAATTTGAAGGAATTGCGGAAACCACAACACAAAATATTTAAGGGGACCACTAAACATGGGATATTGTGATAGTTTTAAAAGTTCGTTACAGTATTTGTGATGCCTGTATCAAAAACTGTTATTACATCAGATTTATGACAAAAGTCATTTTTATTGATGTTTTAACTTTGCTTTTGACACTACTGGATCAATTTTGTTTTATTTTTAATGTGATATTCCGTCTTTGCGTATTGCAGAGTTATCTTCTCTTGAGAGCAGGTGTTGATTGTTACATATGTACGTCATTGGTTTGCGTGAGAAAATTGCGTCGTTTTCTCAAAAATTGATGACGTTACTCTCACAAACAAGTGACGTAACAATCAATACCTGCTTCCAAGAGAAGATAACTCTGCAATACGCAAAGACGGAATAAGATTCATTCTGTTCCAGTCTGGTGTAGATGTCCTAATGTAGGTGACATAATTAATTTCCAGGTGTCGGAGACGCTTGTCCCAGCTGCTTCATACCCATGTTGTCCTGATTTCCGTCTGCATCCTCAGCGCTCTTGATGCCTCCTGTGTTCTCGGACAGATCATCTGCGATATTCTCATAATGTCAGGTATAATATATGTTCACCAATGACCGATAGTATTATTATTGTTCAGCACATAAAAGACAGGTAAAATCTAGTTTCAACGTTTCAAAAAGAATAAGTATTATTACGACTAATATATCCGACGCTTGTTTGTCCAAATATGATAAATACCATGTACGTAGTAAGTTTGATGGCCGCTTGAGTCTTGCCACTAAAGGAAGTTTTGATCCGATTGATGATTAGATCTTGAAACACTTTGTAATATCATCAATCAAAGTTTGCTAGATCTTGATGTTTTGAATACATTTGTGATTGAGTTGTCTCCCTTTCAATGATAAGTATCGTTTCCAATGTTATTTTGATTGCCATATGAGACGTGTTTTCCACCTCATCTTAAGACGATTACTTTTTTGTTCTATGTTACCGTTAATTATTCAGTTATTATCACATGTATGCTTTATTTTTAGACACACAACACGAAAACGACATTATGCAGGAGAAAGCGGTGGAGCAGTTTAAGCTTCTGTGTCCTGCTCTTGACCACCACTCAGACACTGATCACACACTTCATCTTGACGAAATCATAGAGATGCTGGAAACAAATAAGACAGTATGCAGCGGAACTGCACATGTCGGTACTCCACACGCCCACTCCTCGCTCAGTCGTGCACTCACAGTTGATAATGACGTTCTTTTAAGTTTCGATTCATTATCGAATGGATACGCAGAACAAAAAACCGCCGATCGTTTGCTACAGAGACAGAAACGCTCAGACGAGAATCAACATCACCGATCAAAGCGCGCCGCCGGAGGAGCAGACGATCATGACCACGGCCATTCTGTTACCCACGAAGTCACCCATTACTTTCATATAGGGAGCATGGCCATACTATCCATCTTACTGTTTGAGGTCGGTTTAATAGCGTTTGTCTGTGAACTGTATTTTTATATTGGTCCACACACAGCGGTATGAAACAGTCATTGGTTTGATTGGGTAATTTCTCTTCATATCATCATATTGTTAATGTTTTGTCTTTGAATTGGAAATACATGCCAGAACATCCAGAATATGACATTAAAGATGCCAGACCGTTCATTTCTATCTTTATATGTTAATGTCAACGTACTCTTTTGCAACAATGGTCACCTCGTTATCAAACGCTCTGGTGGCATGTGTAGTTCACTGTCTGTTACATTGCACAGCCTATTAGCTTTTTAAAGTCTATTCTGAACATCAAGATTTTCCGGATCTTATTGACAACTAGGCGTCACCGATCCATGGTTCTCTGAGTCCTAAGTTTTAAATCGACGCGAAGGAAATTAAACCACTCAACGTTACCATGTTCAATCTTCTACTTGTCTTTATTCTTTAATGTTATTTGTTTATTTAATAAACATCATCATCATCGTCGTCATCTGTCTGTAAGTATTTAATTCGAAAAGAAGTAACCGTTAATACATTTTCAAACGTTTTGTTTGTTCCACAGGCATTTCTCAAAGTCATTGGAATGGGCAGTCACTTTCTAAAACACAGACTCGAGGTAACGTACCTGTCATTTAAAATTATGGCATTGCTTAACTAGAGCTATATAGACATATCAGACCTCGGGCTGATATGGCATGTGATATGGATTTTATCGTGTTTTATTCTATTTATCATATATTTCGATCAACATTGAAAGTTACATTCAACACAAATTTAATAAATAAAAAATAACTTTGGTTAGAAATAACAGATTTGAATACTGATAACATGGCAAGGTTAACATCATAGTACTGTATGTTAATGCTCTTCACTTGATTCAATCGGAATCAGAGTCACTGTCAAACACGTGTACTCTTTTTCTGTTGCTGGTATTTCGTTCAACTGTACCGCAGGGCTGATTTTCTGCTCTGTGTCGAGACAGATTTCTCTTGTAAATATTGTCACCAAGCTCCAGTATCCGATTAGCCGGTGAATTGAGAATTGTATCACTTTCAGTTTCTTGACCTGACATCATAAGTGACCGTCGGATCTAATGTGAACAAAGCAGTGGTTGTCTGCTGCGCTTATAACTCTAGAGGTGTTCCGAACTTGAAAAGTGCTGAAAGTCGTTATATGCAATCCGACTGCCTGTCTGATATATGTGATATGCATATCCCGACCGTCAGTCTGATATGGGTCAAGTTAATTTAACCGTATTACACAGTATATAGTACTAAGTATATGATAAATATTCTATCACTTTCCTTGTTATACCAGTTGGTTCTCCAATCTTCTCAGTGTTAAATTACTTTTAGCCTGTGATGTAGATACTCCCACTTCATTTCACGATATTATTTATCGATGTTCTGTGGTGAATACGATATAGGTTGTACGCATTTTGTCGTATGAAATATATTATTATTGTTTATATATATACAGAATATTACATATGTAGCTGTTGATGTTATGTGGTAAATACCAGCGGTTATAGTCCATACAATGTATATCATTCGAGAAAATATTGAGTCATATTTTCTGAACATTTTACATAATTTCAACAACCTAAAGTTAAAAACATGATGAATTGACTGTTTAAAACAATATGACATTGTCTTCAAAATAAAATGCATGAGGTTAGGCAAGAGGAATTGTTGAAATTGAAATTTGAATTGATTTAGATATTACTTAACCTCAATCATAAATTCAAAACACAATAAAAACATAACGATATATCACGATTGCAAAAAAATATCTATGATCTATTGAATCATGACATCAATTAAAACATAACGATGCGTCTTAGTATCAAGAAATATATTCATTACTGAATGATGTTATAAATTAATTCCACATAACATTGAGTCATCCGGTTCTCTATGATATGTGATTCTTTTACTCGTCTGTCAATAGCATCATCATCTTAATAATAAACATTTCTAACTTGTTACATTTCAACAAAAACCGACTTAACATCTCAGGAAACATAAAATGGGTTTCTTTGTTTTATAGATCTTTAACATCTCTATCAAATCATAGCTAACCCATTTGTACTTGATTTTTCGTATTTGATGTTGTTTTCTCATGCTTATAATAGTAATGATGTTTATTCAGGAAAAGGCATACACAACAAAACAATTGATTTAAGTAGGTAGTTAACAAAGTTGATATCTATAATCTACGTAGTTTGCCTTACCCTGGGATAGCCTACCAATACCCTAGAAAGCTGATTTCCAATTGGGTCACCTTGCTCACATCTTTAAATTTTCTCGCTTGTTGTCTGTCAAGAATGTTCCTACAGAGAATTAAAGAAAATCGTTATTCGCTTTTGATCTACTGATGAAAGGATAAGCCCAGATTTAACTTTTTCTCGCTTGCTATTAAAATCAACTAACGTTATGTATTTTAAATTTGAAGGTTTTTGACGCGTTTGTCGTCACCGTTTCTTGGTGTCTCGATGTTGCATTTTGGGAAGGTATCTGGGCACATCCGGGCACCGAAGCTGCAACCATCCTCATCATCATCTTACCGTGGAGAATCATCAGGATAGTCAATAGTAATTACTTTTATTGATATTGATTATTGCTGCAAGGAATTTAAACACTTAAATAAATTCAAATTAATAAATCAACTAAATTTGAGTCCTCGTCTTGTTGGTATATTAATGTGTATGCCCTGTTTCTTATCTACTTCTTTTTTTTTGACATCCAATAAATGTTTGTTTACATTCCGTAATTGAATTTGTTTGTTTTAATTAGAAGCGTTTACTAATGGAAAAGTGTTTATAAAAATAACTATTAACTCAAATTTGGAATTATTGCAAAATATATACTCAAAACACTTTAATGAACGTCAAGTCAGGTATGTGTGTATACGATCAAACAGGTTTATAGTTACGATTTGCTGTCGGTGTTATTGGCTGTTTTTCTGATTGAAAAGGTTTCGTTTTGGTCATCAAGGAAAAGGATATGGTTGAGTTGAAGGTTGTCAAACAGCAGTACCGATCCGCCATAAAGGTGGCCAGGGCACTGAAGCGGAAACGGGATATGTATCGGGTAAGGATTATCCATTCACGTGCATTGTTTAATAATGCGCCTCAACGCACAAACTAAATCTGACAACTACAAAGGTGTTTTTTTATAATGAATAACACCTATATTGAATTTATATAGCGTATGATCTATGATAACGAAATGAAATAAAACACCTATATTGTGTTTATACCGTATGAGCTATGGTTAAGATGTTAAAATGAACAACTACATGGTACCTTTATAGCGCATAGGATATACTCACGAACGCGCAATAAAGGAGTATCCAGTATGTTATATACGTGTAGATGATTTGTGTAGGGAACACAATATAATATCTACATTTGTATGTTTCACTTAGGTAGAAGCCAGACAACTGCAGGGTCTCTGTAGGAAACACACAGTCGACGAGGCGGAGATTATTGCCTGTGCTCCACTAGGTAATTCTTATATAAGTTGTCTCCCTTAGTTCGTAATGTACACGCTTCAAAACCACTTTTTTTCGCTATTCTTCTTTAGTGTACAATGGCCCCATCAACATATTGATGATTATGCCTTTGGAAACCTGTGCACAGAGGAATGCAAAAACTGGATTATTTACAGTGATTATATAAGTTGTTGTTTTTGCAGGGTATACGATGAACGGTTAAAAGCTGGCGTATGTGTGCTACATGTAGCGTGTGATGAGGGCTTCAAGGGCTACATAGGGTATGCGTTCCTTGAACTCCGCGAGTGTTGTGCATTGTACTGCTGATGTGGGAAGGAGATTTGTAGGTGTCCTTTGTAGCAGATATGTGTTTGTATGCATAAGGGTGTGCATGTCTGGTTCGAGGGTCTACGGGTGTGAGTATAGATGGTCTACGGGTGTGAGTATAGATGGTCTACGGCCGGGTGTGAGTATAGATGGTCTACGGGTGTGAGTATAGATGGTCTACGGGTGTGAGTATAGAGGGTCTACGGGTGTGAGTATAGATGGTCTACGGGTGTGAGTATAGAGGGTCTACGGGTGTGAGTATAGAGGATCTACGGGTGTGAGTATAGATGCGGGGTTTATTGCTACAAGTTGGTGAACTGTTTTGTAAAAGAGGATTATTCTTGTGTGAAAGCGTCGTGTTTGTAGTGTTAACCATCTATACCTTGTTTTCATAAGATGATATAGGTTGTTTTTTTCTGCTGTTGTATTTTCCATTTGGCTGGGGGGTTTTATCCTACATATGCGACGGCGCACTTATTTAGTCGCGGTTATGCTTCATTGTTATAATACCGATTTTTAAAAAAATATTATGTAAAATATTGCCATATATAACGATAACTAAATTTATGACACTGATTTTGATATGCTTTATTAATTGCCTCTAATTATAGGAGAACCATAACAATACCTCAGAGAAATAGGCAGAGAAGCGTGCTTACCTGTTTCCTTTTAGTATAATACACAATGACCCTCACTGGTCACGTCGTGGTCAGTGGCAAAAATAGAACTTGACCTACGATGTCCAGTTAAAATAGAATGACATATATACAGTTACCGCTGACAGGTTAAGTATAAACAATTTCGCGTTTGTAACACAGACGATGACAGAGACCGACATTAGAAACTATATGTAACATTGACTATGTTCGACATATCGGTGTACCTAAGTATCGATACTTGATATATGGGAGAAACCAGACTAGCTTTCCTAGTGAAGTTTATCCTTGAGGTATCACTGTAAGAGTTGATTCTGTCATCAATACGAAAACGAAACAAAATGATATTTCTGCATCTCTGTATTACAACTAGTTATATTTTCAAATGATCTGTAACTATGGCAATTGTAAGTTAAGCAATAATCTAGAAATGCCACTTACATGTAACTTGACATACTGTCGGATTTGCCGTCAAACTTTGTGCTCCAATACCAGAGGTACGTTTTCAGCAGATTGTTACACGAAGGCTACCCTTAGAAACAACCCTGACTATGTGTATGGTCGAATTGTCCGTGTCTTTAAATGAGGCTGAATTTGTCGATGATCTTACTATGACAGGTTAGGAAAGAGCTTGCCGAGTCCAACGATATGGTGTCTTAGAAAATCAGAAAACATGGCCATAACCACCTCTACATCAGCCGCTTACCCTGGTCTTTACTGACAACATGGCACACTAGGACACGTTACTTATCAGCTGTATGATAAATTTTTTCCGAACATAAATGTTCTATTTCTATAAAGCGCATTACTGATTCCCCGCCTACAGTGTTTACACAATGCGTTTGGTTCGATGTTCACCGATTTGATTCGTGGCATTAACAGATAACGATTAATTCTGACACAGGTTTACAAGATTTTCTGATTATTAACGACTATGGGTAAACTATATGGCTAACATCGGGAACATATTTGAGAATATTCTGTTGTTTTCTGGAATAAGGAAATCGTCGTTTTTAATATTGCTCATACGTGTGATTTTTGGTGTTTGAAACCCCTCACCGGGCCTGGTTTTAATGTCGTAAATTAACTAAGATTTATATGGAGTTACAAAGAAGCAGAATACGCTTATTCTGTCGGAGCTCCAGGTTTTATTATCTTTGCAGACTTTCCAGAGTCTCCATTTAAACCTTACTATTATTTATACTTTGCGCCAATTAAATCGATTTAATTGATTTACGTTCATTTCTTAACTCGTTATAATGGTCTTTGGGGGACTAACTGGCCAAAAACATAAATACATGCATCCGCGAATAAACAAGACAAGTACTATATGGCCAATTACAGATTACAATTATGATTGACTGATACATGCAATTACCTAGAGTTCAATGTCAGTTACACATCTTACCTCGACTTATCACTGTTTATACCATGATTTATACCTTAATGGGATCGAGTGTCAACAACATATATACATTGACTTTTGAACTGAAAAAAGTTGTAGCTGTAAACGAGAGGTTTATCTGTCATGGTTATTGTGGCTGTAAACGAGAGGTTTTTCTTTCATGGTTATTGGGGCTGTAAACGAGAGGTTTTTCTGTCATAGTTATTGTGGCTGTAAACGAGAGGTTTTTCTGTCATGGTTATTGCATGACTACAAGGTTACACGTACCCTTGCTGTTTCAGTGAAGCAGCGTCGCCGCAGCAGCAGTTTGTTTCCGGTGCTATCAAGCTTTGCCTCTTTAGCCATGATTGGTGCGGTGGGAACCAGCGTTCCTGACCTGCACGAAGCCTCATCAGAGGAGGAGGAAGAAGACAAACAGATCGGTAGAACCAACAGCATTGCACAGTTGTTAAGGTCCATATCGTCGGAGAGTGAGCTGTCAGGACCTGTCACCTTTAGTCTCTCGCCTGATCCTATGGATAGTCCTAATAGTGGAACACGAGTATTTACATTTGACGGTACAAGCAACAGTTCTAAACCACCTAGATATGACCAGATGAACACTACAGACCTTGCCGAGGTTGGTGATGTTGTTTCATATACCATTGCCTATTTCTGTGATGTAAAATTGATGGTGTGTTTTATTCATATATATCAAAAGGCGATGCGTCTAATTTTGATGTCTGATATGTTCTGTTTCTTTTATAAACATTTCTTATAAGGACAGTTGAATAGGAAGTGTTATTACTGCATCCATCCCACTATGTACAAGTAATCCACGAAGCGGCGCCTGACATACTATTGCGGATAAGATCCAAAATGTTCTGTACTGTCTAAAATAATATCAAACAATTACTGTGAAACATCTTTATAGCGATAACATAACACAACACTATTTCAAAACAGACTACTCTATCTAACCAACATGTACTGAAGCATTAGTTATGTTGTTCCCGAATTATAACAATTCCTTGTTTATAAAGATATCGGACGTTGTTTTATTTATAACTTGTTGTTACAGAGCCTTCACACAAGTTTGTGATATTGGACGTTGATTATTCATACTCGTCTGTGATAAATAAATGACGTTGTTTATTTATAAACCTGTTGTTACCGGGCCTACACACAAGTCTGTGATAAAGGACGTTGTTTATTTATAAACCTGTTGTTACCGGGCCTACACACAAGTCTGTGATAACTGACGTTGTTTATTAATAAACTTGTTGTTACATGGCCTACATAAACGTCTGTGATAAAGGACGTTGTTTATATATAATCATGTTGTTAAAGGGCCTACACACTCGTTAGTGATAAAGGACGTTGTTTATTTATAAACTTGTTGTTACCGGGCCTAAACAAAAGTCGGTGATAAAGGACGTTGTTTATTTATAACTTGTTGTTATAGGTCCTACACAAATGTCTGTGATAAAGGACGTTGTTTATTTATAACTTGTTGTTACAGGGTCTACACACTCGTCTGTGATAAAGGACGTTGTTTATTTATAACTTGTTGTTATAGGTCCTACACACTCGTCTGTGATAAAGGACGTTGTTTATCTATAACTTGTTGTTTTAGGGCTTACACACTCGTCTGTGATAAAGGACGTTGTCTATTTATAAACTTGTTGTTATAGGGCCTACACACAAGTCTGTGATAAAGGACGTTGTTTATTTATAACTTGTTGTTACAGGGGTTTGCACACACGTCTGTGATAAAGGACGTTGTTTATTTATAACTTATTGTTACAGGGCCTACACACACGGCTGTGATAAAGGACATCTGTTGGAGTTAACGAGGCTTAACCCGGAACCATTGCTAAAGACACCTGATGACAGCTGTTGTTAAGAGCAGTTACCTCGATAATAAATACGACGATAGCGATAATACGTGTAATAGGAGTGATCCAGTAATGTATAACATTCATATCAAAATTTACTAACATTGTAAATAGATCGAATCGATTCCAGTTCGTATATAGTGATAATGCTATTAAAATGTGTTTCCTAGATTCAACACTTAAAACTGAATTTATTCCAAAAAGCGATTTTTAACACCCTAGCTTTCGCAGCCTAAAAATAAACGTTTATCGGATGCAAAGTGGTAAGTTACTGCAACAGGACTATTCTTTCATGAGGTAACACGAACGAATGCTGAGATTATTATTTATATAGCATTCTGAATCTGACTAAATTCTATATTCTTGAAAATAAGGAGGTTTACAATTTTTTCATATAATGACATTTTGGCTTTAGTCGACGAAAGTATTACGATCATTATCACAGTACATTACCAAAAAAAAACCACATTAGACAAAGCAAGTAACAAACACGTAACGTAACACAATGTTAAGTTCACCGCAATATTTGTCCGTTTGCATATTGTTGAGTAAACACTATGTTAAAATTATATCTTAATATCTAAATATAAAGATGAGATTGTATTTATTTCCATTAAACTGACTACGAGTATACTACACAACTATATTCGTTAGGGTTTGAAATTCACTTGCATTCTTTTGCTATGCAAATATGTGTGCACCTGCATGCTTGTAACCTGTATATGATTCATCACCAATGCATTTACATTTACCAGGACAAGATACACGATATTTAACATATCAAGTGGCATGCAACAGACCCCACCTGAATTGTCAGTTTAAGGGCATACAGGTTGTCTGCATCATGTCAATCATAAAATGCAGTTTTTGTTTCTTTAAGAACGTTATAAGTTATTTGACTTTCAAAATATGAATTAATATTTATATTAACAACAACACTTGTACCGATAAGCATGTATATTACAATCGATATAAGTCAATTGCATTTGTAATTATTTAGATAAATACGTAAAACATTATTTGTCGCAAATAAAAATATATCGAATTATATGCGAACAATAACAAGGGTAGCGGTAAACAATTATCAAATAAATACGTATAACTACACGGGTACTGATGAAGTTTTATCAAAATCAATAAACATATAAGAAACAATAACTTATGACAGGTCAATTGATAAAGATATATTACAATATATATGAACAGCTACACGTGTAAAGATAAACATTTATTACAGTACATACATGTACCTACAACTACACGTGTAAAGATAAACATGTATTACTGTACATACCTACAGCTACACGTGTAAAGATAAACATGTATTACAGAATATACCTACAGCTACACGTGTAAAGATAAACATGTATAACTGTACATACCTACAGCTACACGTGTAAAGATACAGTACGTACATACCTACAGCTACACGTGTAAAGATTAACATGTATTACAGTACACACCTACAGCTACACGTGTAAAGATTAACATTTATTACAGTACACATCTACAGCTACACGTGTAAAGATAAACATGTATTACAGAATATACCTACAGCTACACGTGTAAAGATACAGTACGTACATAACTACAGCTACACGTGTAAAGATTAACATTTATTACAGTACACACCTACAGCTACACGTGTAAAGATAAACATGTATTACTGTACATACCTACAGCTACACGTGTAAAGATTAACATTTATTACAGTACACATCTACAGCTACGCGTGTAAAGATAAACATGTATTACAGAATATACCTACAGCTACACGTGTAAAGATACAGTACGTACATAACTACTGCTACACGTGTAAAGATTAACATTTATTACAGTACACATCTACAGCTACGCGTGTAAAGATAAACATGTATTACAGAATATACCTACAGATACACGTGTAAAGATAAACATGTATTACTGTATATACCTACAGCTACACATGTAAAGATAAACATGTATTACTGTACATACCTACAGCTACACGTGTAAATTAACATTTATTACAGTACACACCTACAGCTAAACATGTAAAGATAAACATGTATTACTGTACATACCTACAGCTACACGTGTAAAGATTAACATGTATTACAGTACACACCTACAGCTACACGTGTAAAGATTAACATTTATTACAGTACACATCTACAGCTACACGTGTAAAGATAAACATGTATTACAGAATATTCCTACAGCTACACGTGTAAAGATAAACATGTATGACTGTACATACTTACAGCTACACGTGTTAAGATTAACATTTATTACAGTACACACGGCAAGCCTCGTTCTGGACAAAAAATCTTAGTCCTCGGGTTGAGGTTTCTCTATATTACACAACCAGTAGCGATAGATTCTACTAATCTTCAGCTACACGTGTAAATATAAAAATGTCTTCCTGTATATACCTACAACTACACGTGTACAGATAAACATGTATTACTGTATATACCTACAGCTTAACGTGTACATATAAACATGTATTACTGTATATACCTACAGCTACACGTGTAAATATAAACATGTCTTACTGTATATACCTACAGCTTAACGTGTAAAGATAAACATGTATTACTGTACATATCTACAGCTACACGCGTAAATATAAACATGTATTACTGTATATACCTACAGCTTAACGTGTAAAGATAAACATGTATTACTGTACATATCTACAACTACACGTGTAAAGATAAACATGTATTACTGTACATAATATTATCTACAGCTACACGTGTAAATATAAACATGTAATACTGTATATACCTACAGCTACATGTGAAGCGATAAACATTAACTAAAATAACTACAGTTGTATAAATAAATATATTTATTTTAACAATTTCTCGTGCAGTAGTTACGTGGTTTGCTCCCCGATTGACGGTTTACATATAAATCCTCCATTTTAATAAATTATGATATGAATACTGAATAGGTGTATGAACGTTGGTGCTATGTATCCTTTAAAGCACGTACGTCTATACATAAACATGAGAGTGCAAAACTGTTGCCTATTTCACTTTAACATGTAATTAACATGCAAGGCGTTGTTACTACCGCCTAGAATGTCCGTCACAATGATATGTTCTCAACTTTGCAACATTTATTTTAGTTACGTATTAGTTTGTCTGCCTCCATGGTCAACGACCGAGGTAGCGAGGATGGAGGTCAGCCAAATGGTATCCCCTCACTGCTTCAGACGTAATATACAGAGAAAGTAACGAACATAACACATGTTTCACCATTTTATCCAGGTTGACAAAAGTACGTCCTAAACGTAATTAATAATAAGTGCTATCTATTTTAACTCCGGGTGTTTGTGCTACCTATGCATTAATCATGTGTACGTAAACAATTATCGATGTTGAATGATGCCTATCGAAGTATGCGTATCAATGACATTCATCGCAAGTACTAGTTGCACGATAAAAAAACATTTCATTATTAATCTATTAACAAAGAACACTTGTTCGCATTCTGTATATTAAACTAACAAATAAAGACAATGAGACTGCATGATATGAATGCGTTTGCTTATTGTTTTGATGAAAACATCTAATCACAAATCTTGTTTGGAAAATTGTCGTTCAATTACTCTGTTATAGTTTTGCAGGAGTGCTTGTCGTCACTGTTTGTGGCGTTTTGAGTTTAGGCGTGACTACACCTTTACATTTCCGTTGACGGCCAAGTTGAATGAAGCGTAATTACTTTTTTGACACAAAACACGATATCGATTAATTTCTTTTCCGTTCGCAGATTTGTCTTTTTACGTGGGTTTGTCATAACAACTAATGACGTGCTGAATCATGTTGAACTTTTGGTTTAAATAAATGGGACAGTACGTAGTTAACAGCCTGACACGTGTTTAGCTAGATTGAGAACTATAAGAAGGATTTATGATATTTAGTTATCAGCAAGATGTTCACGCTGTAACAAAACAGACTACGAAATTATACAAGTACATTGGTATTAAGTTATTAACGTGTATGTACATATATCACATGTATGTCATAAAGGTGCTAGTATACATGTACTTTGGTAAGGGAGCTGTCACACCTAGCCGATTTGGGTCGCCGGAGCACAAATTTGGCGATTTTCGGGAATCGGTACTAATATGGCAGCGCAACGGTATCATATCGTTACGAACGGTAGTACTCTGTCAGGACATCGTCAGGACATCGTCAGAACATCGGCGAAACATTTAACAACGGCAGGTGACGGTAGACATTTTTGAACATGCTCAAAAATGTCCGCCGTTGTGCTTACGGAGCGAGCAACGGGACTTCAACGGCAGTACTTCGTGAGAACTCCAGTATGGCTTCTTTAATGTCGGTAGAGCACCGGTAGCGCCCCGTAATTGATCTGCTCTCCGGAGGCCTCAATGTGTACCGCACTGGAACAGATGTGATACCGTAGTACTACCGAATACCACCGAAGTAGTACTGATGAGCCGCCGATGTACTAACAATGTACATATAGCTACCGTCATATCGGCAGCGCAACGGTATCACTCCGCTATAGCTCCGGTCAACGGTGACACATCGGTAGAACAACGCCGGCTCCTCGGTATAACATTGGCGGCTCATTAGTAACACTGAGGTGTCAGAAAAGCGGTATTCGGTAGCACATCGGCTCTTACATCGGTAGAACAACGGTATCACAACGGTACGGTTACTGTCAATTTTAAATTTTCAAGTGCTTTCTCGCCGGAGCTCTGCCGATTTTTCTCGCTGTTGTTATTTTTTTTGCTCCGGTTTAGTCCCGGCGATGTACATAGGTAGTGTGTGACACACACTTTTGGTCGGTATATCTTATATTGCCGTAGAAAGGGAGTAACGTAACGTACCTTCATCATTCTATATAATATTGTCGTATAGAAACTGGATGTAGCATACCATTGATTTAATCGATGATCAAAAACTAAAGTACATGTTGTTTCACTAAATTTGCATTGCAATGTTTGCAGACGGTTTTTTTCCTGACTCAAAGTGTCAAACTCATGGTCGGGGCCGCAGACCGAGTACTGCTGTAAATAAGGAGGGTCCATCATCTGTAGAAATGAGAAAATATAAACACTTGTGTAACGGATATCACAAATAAGTTAACAAAGACTTTTGGAGTAGATTGGTCATTCCCATTAGGATGAGTTTCAACAAACAGCTATGTGTTGACACCATATTTCACTATTGCACTAATCATATTCGTATTGCTATAAATGGTTCGCCGAAATATATCATGTAATGGACACGTATGGCATAAGGTGCTTTC